CTGCTGGACTTTGGCTCAAGGATGCCTTTGAGTGGTGTACTTGTGGATGCGAGGTGTGCGAAGGTGCTAGCTGGTCTGCTGAGTGTTCTGAACTGCCCATACAAAGCGACCGTCACAGACTGTGTGTCTCAGTCCTTCGTCTCATGAATAGAGGAATAACTATCTTCCATCATAATGGTTTGCTGTGAAAATATTGCATTTAAAACCCTGTGAAGTTCTTCCTTGATACTGCTGTAGCTGGGGAAGTATTGAACACAACAAGACAAAAGGAAGCCTCATCATTTTCACAATCACACGTAAGACACACTACATCTGCTGCCATCAGTGCCTGTCCTAAGCATGACACCCTACATGCAAAGCCACTGGCTTCAACGGAAGTGCTCCTCACTAGTCCCAGCTTTGGCCCAGGCTCTGGGATTTCAAGCATTACTTGCACTGTGAGTGGATGGCATTACTAATAGGGCAGACTGCCTGGCAAGGAGGAATAACAATAAAAAATAACAATAAAAAGGTGAATCGGTTATTGCTTAAGAGCCTCAATTATAAGACACAAATTGTTCCACCCCAACCTGGTACCCTGTCACCATCTGTGGCCAAAACACCTTGAATGCCTCAAAAGAGGCTAAAAACCAAGATGAAGATATATCTCAAAAAGGGGGAAAAATATGCCTCCTGGCCCTGGCCAATAGAAACACCCTGCAAACTGTGGATTGTGGTGACCGTGAAACACCAACATATCAGTACACAGGGACTCCTGAGCCTTGTGGGCCTACCTCCAGAAATCCGCATGGCTCTTTCGCCGTTACTCCACCTTCAAGCCAAAAAACCCCTAAGTTTCTTGATTCCATTAACTTGTTCGAAAACTTTCAGAATTTCACTCCCTGTATGGTCAGAAGGGACTGTTACGGATTGTAAGTGCATTTTGACCCATACTGTCTTGACTTTATTAGTTCTAGTTGCTCTTTGGGTGCTTATTCCCTGCTCTCTTACGCATTTTTTTTAAAAAAATAAAGTACTTTGTATGACCACACTCAAATAGTTTCAGTCAAGCCGTGTTACAATGGATGAAGAAAAACTAGACAGCTACAAAGGGAGGCAAAGATGATCTGATGTGACTACCATGCAAGAAGAAACTAAATAGATTAAGACAACATGGGGAACATGGAGAAAAGGTGATAGAGGATATGTGACAGACATCTACACAACTGTCACTGTGTGAAGACAGTGACTATGAGTCTTTTTACACTGTTTCTCCAGATTAGGAGGCAACAATGAAATTATCAGACAACAGAAGCATAATTACTTTTTCTGTATTGGATAAATTGCAGAAGTCTTCTGTAAATTGTGGCAGTGGTGAAAAATAAAAAAAAGACTCAAAAGGATTAGTTGAACAGTGGAAGATGTTTACAAATATCTGCTGAACATGGCAGACCCACAGCAAGCTCTGGCTCCGAAAATCCCCAAACTTCTGATTATTGGAAGCTGGGAGGACAGAGACTCTCATGCTCTTTTCCTCTTACACACTCAGTACCGCCATGGTCAGATTAAAGTTAGTGGGCTAGACAGACCTTCATCAAACTCACTACAGCCATTCTCCTGCTTGTTTTTCTTTTCATGTAGCTAAATAATCTGCTATTTATTTTAAATTTTCTAAGCATAGCCCAGCTCAATTAAAAAGTGAGTGGCCAAAAGCCTAAGACAGTATTCCTTTGTTAATAAAAACACTACTTCTTACGCTTGGAGAGACTGATCCTATTCAGGGCAGTCTGCAGATTTTCTTGGCCTTTTTGGAGTGCTCAATGGAATGCAAATGCTGGACCATATTTTCACTTTTGATTTAAAGTAATTCTTCCCTTCTTTCACACTCACACCCTTGACCTTTCAGTTCAGTCAATTTACTAATTATCTTCCTCTCTTTCTTGAGGTCTGTCTTACTAAATTCAAAGTCTGTATTATGAGTCTACCTTTGTCAACACGAACTCAATGAAGACATAATTGCTCAGTCTAAGATTGCTATTTACAAGTAGTTCCTCTAAAACCATCTACTTGATAAACTAAATGTCAGTTAGTATTGCCTCTTGTTGGTGCCACCATTTATGGCTGGGCTTGCATTTAAAGCAGATGACAGATGGGGGAAGGAGAGGAGAAAAGGGAGAGAGATTTATGGGTTGGAAAATTAAAACTAATAAACCAATAGCAATGAAAAGAGTATTTATTAATGTTAATACTACTAATAATAGAAATAAAAATATACAAAACCAATATTGAGCTTCCCAATGATGGTCAGGGAATTGCAAGCCGTGGTGGCTCGCACTGCTGTCGCAGCAAGGTGGACACCAAAATGTCCCAGACTGGACACTGCAGCTGAAAGAAACCTGATTCAGGAATGCACGGATCAGGATCGGAGGCAGGAGAATGAGCAGGGTCCCACAGGGATGCCGGCCATGAAAGAAGAAGGGCTGACCTCCATGATCCCTTAGCTTTATACTGAGTATGACATGGATGGGACGGAATACCTTGTTGGTCAGTTTTTGGTCACCTGTCCCGTCCACACTCTTCAGCAGGTGCAACCCTTTTATGCCTTTTTGCATGTGGACCATAAGAAAGCCAGCAGTGACGTTGGTTCCCACAGGAATAAGTATAAACATGGGCCTTTCTGCATACCAATCCCACTGTTAATTTAGTAACAACTATAAACATCAAGTGTTACCAATTCTGAAAGCAGACACTGTCTGAAAAACATGTAGCCAGCTTCAGAGTGCAGTTACCTAGAAGAAACTTAACTGAAGGAAAATCTACTGAAAGGAGAAATGGTCCTGTTTTAGCCAAACCAGGACAGTCGGTTATTTGACGAAAAAATCTGGTTATCAGGTCTCCTCCCGGCTTCCTATTTAAAGCTATTTTTATTAGTTACCTGAACCTCACCTCCAGAAGGCTGGTGGTACAGATGGAGAGAATTTTTCTGGACATGAAAACCCCTAGTTAAACATGGTCTTGTATTCCCTGAGCCATCTGATGGTCATAATGAAAATCTTACCAGTACTTCTTCCCTCTTAGCTGGGAATGTAAAGATTCCTCTGATGGCCTGAGCTCTCATTTCCATGAGTAACCTCTCCAGCTCAACACTGTCCTCCTCCTTTTCCATACAGAGCAATCTTAAATCATTTGTTCCAAATAGAAGAAAAATCTATTCATCTTTTTGTAACTCCCACCTAGATCCTCTTCACACTCAATTCCAAACCTTCTTTGTTCCCAGCACACATTCTGCCTTTTCTTCTATAATATGCCTAGATCATCCTCTACTGAGGACACAAACATGCCTCTTCCCAGTGTCAGAGCTGCCATCTCCTTGCTCTCTCTCATTTCACACCAACTTTCCCTCCCTCTTAAATGCCCCTTTCTTTTGTTTCTGTCAAATGTCATTATATATTAATTTCCTTGGAGCAGCTTTCCTCCTCTTTTCCCTGGCCACAGTTATCACAATTCCGCTTGCCTTGTCCTCACCTTCTAGCTCAGCAAGACTATTTCTCAATTGTATTTTTCATTTGCTAGCTGGTCCTTTCCTCTACCTGCATCCGCTGGTCACAGTTTTTCATGGATCACAGAAGAAACTGTCTCTCGAACTGTCTTATATCAAAGGCAATAGCAACCATATACGGATGCTAGGCACTCTGCATCTCCTGTATGAGACCATCTTTATTGTCTCTGCATTTCTCCACTGCTGCCATATCCCTAATACTAAAAAAGGCAAGAGGGAGAAAGAAAAAAAAAACCACAAATGAAAGTAGCTATCTGCAAGTTCTGCCCAATCAAACTGCCCCCCAAATGCCAATACAGGTGCTTGTTTCTTGACCTGTTCATTGCTTCCACCTCTATTGATTTACATCAGCACAGCCACAGTGTGTCCACAGCAGCAGAGCAGGAACGCAATACCAACTCAGCAGCAAGCACCAACAAAGAGGCAAGAATAGCGGACAGCAGTTCCTTCAATTGGTGCAATTGCCCCCAGGAGAGAACATCCACCAGCGTACTTTGCCTTCCTCCTGGGAGTAAACACTGCTTGCTCCCTATGGGCTGTTCTCAAGTTTTGAGAGTCATCCTCAAGATGATTTACACCAGTCTGGACACATGACAAGCAATTTCAAATAATACTGACACTACTTATGAGTAATGATGTCACATCATCTCCTGTACATGCCTGAACTGAGCATCTATCAACTGTTTCTTTGGTGCTCGGCACACTTCCTGTGGCAGCAGAACAACAGACCATTAACAGCATTCTGGCATTTTCTGGTGGCAACATCTGCCTTTATGACTTGGGGTTCACTCTAAACGCCTGTATGCGTAGTTTGGCTCCATAACTAGCTTAAGTCCCAATGATTTCTTTTTACATCTTCTTTTAGGAAACTGTGCCTATGCTCCATGTCAACAAATTGTTTCTCTGTTTTTCTGACAAAATATTTCCTTTCTAAATATCATCTCTACTCCGTTTTTTCCATGTCCATGTTTTTTCCTTGAATCTGCAGCTTAAAATCTTCTTGGTTCCCTCTAACTAAACCAACAGCCTGTGTGCAATACAACTGAGACAGGCACAGCAGGAGAGACAAGTGAGAGCTGGGGAAGACTGGAGAGTGTGTATGGACATCAAAGAAATAGTACATTTTCTTTAAGAATTGGTAGCATATCTTTTATGCAGCTTAAGCTACATCATTAATATACCAAAGGAGTATCTAAATCAGGAAAAAAAATTGCCATAAACAGTTAATTTGATAGCAAAGTGGTAATTACCTTTCTCGAACAAACTCTGCCATTTCTTTCTGCATTTGTTTCCCTTTAAGTTGCTTTTGAAGAAGAATTTCAAATCCCGACACTGTATTGTTCCCTTGCGAATCCTTCTTATCAGCCTGGAAGGAAAAAGGAAGTTCAACAAAAAGATATGGGGATCAAAAACACAGACATGCAGTTCCCAGCAGCAATCGCCCAAGGATTCCGAGGGACAGGCAGCAGTGGTGTCCAAAGAACCCTCTTCTGATAACAGCTGATGGTCGCAGCACCTCAGCCCCTCTCAGATGAATAATCCAACACTTTCTCTTTCCTCCTCCTCTTATTCCTCTTTTTTTATTAAAAAAAGGAAGTTTTACAGTTAGCTTTAGCTAGCATAAGACTATGTTGAGGCCAAAGCAGCAGCCTTGCCTTCCCTTCTGTCCATGGCCTTTCATACCTGATAACACCCCTGGGCTGGCTCTGGCAAACATGAGCCCTGATGGTTCCCCCTGCAAAGAGAAGGGATCCTGGAGCCAGCACAAGGGAACTGCTGGGGGAAAGGGGAGGACACTGCTGCTCCTTCCAGGGGTAACGCAGACCTAATGAACTTTAATAGACTGTCAAGTTCAACCCTGATTTGCACTCAGAAAACTACAGCCTGTCTGCACAGATCTGCTGTAAAGGAGAGTAAAACAGCAACTTGTTCAACAGATCATCGCCATACGTCCCATCTTTCACTGTTTCCTACACAGCCCTTTCTATTCTTTGCTCCATTGACTTCAGGGATGCTACAAGGACCAACAGCCTTTTCTCTCTCTCCTCCCTCTGTTTTTCTCTACTTCAGAATTTCATTTCCTACCCTCTTCAAACAAACAGGCCCGGAGAATGCTTCCCTAAGGACTACAGATTTTGCTCCAGTACCCTGGGTGCTGCACACTTGCACAAAGAAAAATGCCACATTAATCAAAGCGTCAGACTTGTAGGATGCCACATGAGGCACCGGGTAGCTGAGACAACGGGAGGAGTGGAGTTGATTGAAGAAGGAGGGTGAGTCATGGGCAGACCATGAGTGACAAGGCCAAACAAGAGGAAAGTCCTGGGAGTGGAGCTATGGGAGGATAAAAGTTTGCAGAAAAAAGGCAGCTTTAAGTGGAGTTTCACTGAGAGTAAGATGTGATCAAACCTAAGGAGTCAAGCAGTGATCGAGTCTAAATGGAAAGAACCAAGCAGGGCAGCAACTCCTGTAAGACACATGCAAAAAATAAGCCTATATACCATTAATGATTTCTTGCTCACTGGGATCAGATGACTGGAAGAAACTTTGATGATCTGCTAACGTGACCATTTGCAAGTACCTTAGTGTATTTTAGCAAGTTACTGCCATTAATCCTCACACCAACGCTGAGTACACATGAGGGGAAGTGCTGCTGTGCCTCCAACAGCTACACTTTTTTGTAAGTGAGACTCTTTTTTTTTTTTTTTAAATGGAAATGCTTCAGTAACTGATAACACATGTGAAATTCATAAGATCTTCATTGTTGAGGTAGTATTCCCCCCACCCCCCAAAAACCAGTTTTCCAGTGGAATATTTTTTCTATCAGCTCCATACTTGAAGGACTACTGTATCATTTTAATCTGATTTCAGGATCCTGAAAGCGGAGCTAAGCACAAGAGGGCATGCACAGAAACACAACCACTGTGGACATCCCGTGCTGAAGGCTGCATTAAAACTACCCAATTTAAGAGCTACTAATGGGCCTGTCCTTCACAAACCTCATCCTTTAAAAAAGTAATTTATCATCTGGCCTCCAAAATACCCCATGTGAGTGAATTTTACAATTTAACATAAAGTTTGTAACTATCTGTTTTTAATGTGATATCCCCCTGCTTCTTTGTGCCTCCCTAGCTCTCGTGCTCTGGGAAACACTGAAATAATATTCCCTGTCAGTCACCTCACTATCCCCCCTCCAGCTGCACAGCTCTTTTGGCTGATGTATTTTCAGATGTGTAATTTGTCCTACATCCTGCCCATTTTCTGACCAAAGACATGTCCTGACAGCTGACCTTGCCTTTCTGGAAACTCTTCTGATAATCACCCACATCTCAGACCGGTTAGATGGTTTCCATCTGATCTTCACTGGCGTTCTCAGTCTCCCTGGTGTTGCTCTAATGCACTGCATTTCAGCCCAAATTCTCATTTACCTGGTACCACAAATCAAGCTGTTTGTTTCACTTTTTCAGAAGATCAGGAGCTGCAATATGGCATGTGGCTGGCTGCCTACTTACCCAGAAATAATCACAGTAGCTCCACTCCGAAGGTTTCAGCAACTGCTGCTCTGGCATTATGTCAGGATGGGGGAAAGTCACACAGTTTATCTGTTAAAAAAAGCAAAAGGGAGTTAGAAGGTAATGAAATTTAGCTGTTGATGAGAAATATGCAAATGAAAGGTTATATACATGCACTTCCAATCAAAAAATCCACAGTGAATGTATGTCAGTGAAGAACAATTGGTTGCTGCATGGAAACAGCAGCTAAGTATTCCCAGAAAGCTCCTCTGAGCAAGCAGGAGTGTCAGCTCAGAGGAAAACAAACACCCATTTCACATGAGGAAAACCTGCCTGATTTGGAAAGCGCCATACAGGGAGTTCTCCTAGATCTCTAACAAACTGCGTTAAAAATCCTGATGGGAAAAAACATGAGCATGCCCTGAACACAAGAAATACCATGAGCAGCAGAGAGCACTGAAGGCACTATCAGTGTATCTCATCAGACATTCTTGGCTGTTAGTCTCTTACAGGATTACAAAAAAAAGGTGTTATTTTTCCAGTGCACAGCCCTTCCAGCTATCCCAGAAAGCTTTGTAGATGAAAGTGATGCTCCCTGCAAAAAGGAACAGGGGCTCTCTAAAGTCAGCTAGCCTTCAGCACGCAAAAAACACAGCAATTTGTGAGACAGGACTCATCACACAGTCATTAAACAAAGGCATAAAAAAGTACAAGTGCTCATTACATTATCACAGCAGAAAATGTAGCCTAATAAAAGCACAGTGGAAGCGAAAAGTGACAGCTACTGCCGAATATGCTGCAGAATAACTCTGGACGCAGTTAAGCCCTTCAGGGGAGGCATCAACAAGAGTCAGAGCTCACTGCCAGTACATAATGGTCGCCTAAAATTTCTGCTGGGCAGGCACACTAAAAGCAGTTCCTCTTACCACACCTGTAGGTTCACTGGACACTAAGAGTACTTGTGTATTAATCACGGAACCAACAGAAATTTGGGATGGAAGACTCACCAATGTAACTGTATGGGTTTGAGGGGTTTTTTTGGATCAGTTAATGTTCACAGGAAATCCAAAACCAAAGCTGTGGGCAGCATTAGCATAGCTGCATGGGCAGACCTAAAGGTAGTGCTTACACACAGTGAATCTGCCTTTGGGCTATTCAGAGAGGATCAGAAAGGATGTGCTTTGCAACATGCTGCAAAGTGCTGACACAGTGTAAACCCACCATGCCAGAGCAAAGCAGACAAAGCCTTTAGCTGATACAACTCTGTTCCTACAAACCCATATTGGCTCTGTTGCTGTCTGCACATGCTGAAGTTTCAGTGGCTGTCCTGTACATAATGCAAGAGCTTTCTCCACCGCCCTTCTCCACAAAAATCCCTCTGTCCAGAGCTTGCCAAGTCCACTTCAAAGCAGGCAGAGGACCCTGCACCTACATCTCAGCTAGATCCTAAACCATGCATCTTCCCTTCCAGCTTCCTTTCAGCTTGCATTGGGCTTCAGTCTGATCTGCAAGAGGTCAGAGACCAGGGCTCTCACTTCACCATCACTTTGCAGGCAGCAGCTATGCACCAGTGAGCCTGCATCTCCAGCCAGAGTCAGCCTCCCCTGGCTACACAGTCCCAACAACAGACAACAGGAGCTGCTAAAAACACCTCCCTATTCCTTCACGTTCCCCATCAGAAGTGCCATGCACCAGCAGTTATAAAACATCAGTTCAGTTCAGAGTAGGATGGCTGCACGACAGAGGTGCCAGTGCTCACCCTTGCCCAGGCACCCCGCACCCTGGTGGTGTCAGGGGACATGCCAGCGTAGTCACGCTCAGCTGGGCTTGTCCGTGCTGTAGCAACAGGCCCCTGTGTTATCCCAGGCTGACCTCTTTCACCAGCACAGCCTCCAGCACAAAGCCCCTCCATGAGGGATGTTTCACTGAGGAAACCTTCTGTCTCTGCTAAATTCTTCCTCTCCTGCCTCTTCCCTGTCAGCTCAATTATCCCAGGACAACATCACAAGCCCATCTTGCCCTGCTTTTTTTTGGTTAGGTAGGTTGGGTTACCTTTTCTTCTTCATTCAGGGATCACCAGATCTACAAGCCTGCAAGCAGATCCCGTCATCTGCTGGAAGCAGCCCAGCTACAGGAGAGGAGCTGGCATCTCTCCTCTGGGTGCAGTCAGCACAAGCAGGGGCGTGCAGATCTGCTCGTGGGCACTGCAAAGCTCCGGCTTGTTAGGAGACTCCTCTCACCCCCACCAAGAAGCTTCACAACTGATCATCCCAAATGTCTTAAAAATAAAAATACCAGCTAGAAACCTTAAGCCAAATTGCTGCTTTCAGACAGCATCTGAGAAGCACTGACCTGGACCAGTGCTGGACCAGCACACAAGCGCAGACAGAGAAAAGGCTCCGCTTCGCTTCACAGATCACCAAATCCCATGCTGATCACAGGCTGCGTTGGTACCTGGGCATGCCTCTACACTGTCACAGCCACATACTATTTCTCAAATAACACAATATATTGTAGTTTCACCTTAAAAAAAAATGAGATGGCCTTAGAATCAGTGCACAGTTGCTCTCCCATGTATCACAGCGGGCCAACTGCTTCTCGCAAGCGAGCAACACTGCAGCTCATCCTCCCATAGCTAGGGAGATACAGGAAACAAAGTACTGTCAGCAATGACAATGTTATAGGCAAACACATGAAGCTACGCAGTGTAAAGACAGGTTTAAACAGCTTCTGGCTTTGAGGATTTCTGGCCTTCATACTGAATTTCACCCTGAATAAAAATTTGGGTGACAGCCTCAGGTCACTTGAACGCCAGTCCCTCCAGCACCTCCAGACCCCCTAGTCTCTACAGCATCTCCAACCCCCCCAACAACTCCAAGCCCTCCAGCATCTCTATTGCCTGAAGCCCTTCGAGCCTGGCAGCCTGCATGAAACACTGCCCTGTGCACAGCTTCCCTGTGTGCTTACACAACACACCTCATGTGCATCCAGGACAAGGTGCTGCCTCTTCAGAGCAGACTGCCAAGCTACAGGAACCCAGGATTTAGCTCAAGATAAAAATAGTCAGCAGCAGAAGGCAAAAGAGGTAAAGAGACTGCATGGAAGTTTTGGGGATGCAGGAAACGATTCACATCTCCACATCAGGAGCACCAATACTGCAGTGCTGAAAGGAGAAGCTATTCTGGTTTCCACCTATCCTCTTACTGGTGGTCTTGCGGAGAATGGCTAGGAGGTGTCCTGTGGAAACACAGTGCTGAGGGGAGTTTCGTGTTGCCCAAGAAGACTGGGCAACTTTCAACTGAGAAAGGACCAAATGCTTTCCATGAAGACAGCAGTGTTTCCAAGGCAGATTTCTAGGGCTCAACATTGTCACACTGAATAATGACATGATGGGGAAATAGGCACCTCTCAAGTCTATTTTACAGCCTTTACCAGAAGACTTGGCATCATCATGCTGAGCACCAGGACATGGAGGTGACATGCAGGAGGGAGCATGTACAGTGCCACACAAGTTATTCCCTGCAGCTTAAAATTCAGCAAAGGGAAACTGCAAGGGAAATTCATCTTCCCTGCTAAAAATGACACCTGTTTCACAAAACCTAAATCTGTGTTGGTTAGAAGCTGCTTATCAACCTTAAGACTCTCGGTTACATCACTAATGTCCTGAAGAAATAAACACAGAGTCACCAGAAATGTCCACGCTCAGACTGGTGAAATTGTCACAGAATCAGAGAATCGATTTGGTTGGAAGAGACCTCTGGGATCATCGAGCCCAACCTTTGCCCTAACACCACCATGTCAGCTAGACCATGGCACTAAGTGCCACATCCAGTCTTTTCTTAAACACCTCCAGGGATGGTGACTCCACCACCTCCCTGGGCAGCCCATTCCAATGCCTATCATCCCTTTCTGTGGAGAAATATCTCCTCATTTCTAGCCTGAACTTCCCCTGGTGCAGTTTCAGACTATGCCCTCTTGTCCTGTCACCAGTTGCCTGGGAGAAGAGGGCAAGCCCCAACTCACTACCCCCTCCTTTCAGGTCATTGTAGAGAGCGATCAGGTCTCTTCCCTCAGCCTCCTCTTCACCAGGCTAAACACCCCCAGCTCCCTCAGCTGCTCCCCATCAGACTTGTGCTCCAGACCCTTCACTACCTTCGTTGCCCTTCTCTGGACTCGCTCCAGCACCTCAAGGTCTTTCTTGTGGTGAGGGGCCCAGAACTGGACACAGCACTCAAGGTGCGGCCTCACCAGTGCCCAGCACAGGGGGACGATCACTGCCCTGGTCCTGCTGGCCACACTATTCCTGATACAGGCCAGGATGCTGTTGGCCTTCTTGGCTACCTGAGCACACTGCTGGCTTATGTTCAGCTGGTGGTCGACCAACACCCCCAGGTCTTTTTCCACTTGACCACTTTCTAACCACTCTTCCCCCAGCCTGTAACGCTGCATGGGGTTTTTGTGGCCAAAGTGTAGGACTTGACACTTGTTCTTGTTGAATCTCATACAGTTGGTCTCAGCCCATCGATCCAGCCTGTCCAGGCCCCTCTGCAGAGCCTTCCTACCCTCCAGCAGATTGACACTCCCACCCAGCTTGGTGTCATCTGCAACTTGGGTGTCCCACCACAACAGACCAAATGCACCTCACCACATCCACGCATGCAGCAGAAGGAGGAACAGTGAGTACACATGTCAATAGGTCATGACAATGAGATTAATTCACATGTTTCTCAAACAGCATCATCAGACTCCAAGTTTTATGAATAAATCAAACATTCTTCATTTCTCAGAAGCTTATACTTAATTGCCTAGAAACGATGCTGAATTCTCTGGAAAAACTCACAAGGCCATTTGGGTCTAGTATCATATTTAAAAAGAAATTGGTGTCAGAATTAAAAAAATAAAATGCAGAAGCTTTTGCAATCTTTAAAGAAAAAAAAAAAAGGATTACTTGTGTGACAAACAGAACTTAACAGAACTTACAGTTTTCTACACAAAGTCCCAGAGAGGGCATGAAAATTTTCAAAACTCTAGAACTATTACTAAAAATTATATATGACTGTGTAAAAAATCCTGTGACTCTTTCTCTTCTT